AGGTTGCCCAATCAAAAACAAATGAAATCAGATTAGTGTGGCAGGATTTGTTTTTGAGAGATCTGTGTCAGCTTCTAATAATCACTGCACTGTTTTCAAGGGGTTTGCAGAATGACTCCTTGATAATCTGTTCCAGAATTTTCCCAGTGATTTATGTCAGACTTGCTGATCCGTACTTCCCAGGGTTTTCTTTTCCTTAAGATGAGGACAACACTAGACTTTCTCCATTCATCTGGTACTTCCCCTCTTGTCCATGATTTCTCAAAGATAATAGGCAATGGTTCTGACAGTTCTTCTTCCAGCCCTTTTGTGACTCTAGGATGGCATTCATCAGGGCCTGGAGATTTGTTAGAGCAGTATGACAATGGAACCAATGTCCTAGCAAGGTTGTGGCTCTCTCACACGGGATGCATTCAAGATGCAACTGTACAGCTGTCTGAGAGGGATGGTTACCTTGGAGTCCTACACTGAGGACGGGGGTGGACCTGATACCCCTTCCAACTCTACTCTTCTGTGATCTATTTGACATTGCATTGAGTTTTACTGTACATCTTGCCTGAAGTTACTTGGGTCAGAGAGGCAGCCCATAATTCAACCAACCAACCAACCAATTGCTTGTCAGAGGTGGGATAGCAGCATAATGGAGGGGTTGCTGTATCACCAATTTTCATTATTTTCAATGTATTTCAGCAGCTATGGAAGATGTTTCAGCAATTTCTTGGGCATGTCTTTAGGGCAAAGGTATGTGCTTCAAGAAGAAAAGGTGAGATATTTGCTTGTTTCTTTGGAAGACCCCATCCCCTGAAAATTATCAAAATGTGTTGTGAATAAAGGACGATCCACATGGCAATTTCTGTGTTGGCTGCCTTTTTTCTTCTTTATTATTGGGATACACCTTTGTATTCATCCTTTCCACCAAGAAATTGGCACTTGAGGCAGTTCATAGGAATCTATTTATTCATCTATTCAAAACTTAGTTAAAGCAACAGTAAAACAAATACAATAAAACATGGTTAAAAATACAACAATAACACAATAAAAACAGAATCCAACTCAATAGTTTATATGCCAATACAATATGTATTTGCCTGGCTAAAAAAAAGCAAGAGTGTGTCCAGTCTTTCTTTGCATTAATTAGTGGGATGTACTTTTGAGTAGAACTGTAGATGACTTCATTGTTAATCTTGAATTAGGTAATAAGCTTAAAAATAAATGTTCTATGTCAGGAAGGGGGTGAAAAAAAGAATAGCATTTTCTTTTGCATCAGACATTGCAAGTTGCAGTTTTAGAAAATGAGTTATGCTGGCAATAGAAGGACCCCCCCCCCACACACACACAGGAATCCTATTATACATAGCTGAGTAACAGCTATGTTTTTATTGCACAAAATAAAATCTCTGAAAGTGGGACTTGATTCCTATATCATACTTCAAGAAGGTGGCTTCCATGTAATGTGAAAAATCTAGCACCTGCTTAACCTGAAAAAAGACAGTGATAAAAGACATGCTCACTGTTCATGTCTTTTTCATTTTCTGGGGTCACCAACTTGACAAGACGTTCAATCAGCCATTGTTACTATGTCTCTATGATTACTGTGCAATTGTGAATGTGATATGACTCCCCCTTGTGGGAATAAAAGGGCACTTTAGTTGAGAGGGGCATTACATTTTCCGAAAAGCTCCGTTCATCAAATGCTGAACTAATACTGAAATTTATAATCTGAGGTCAGTGCTGTGCACACAGTTGGTCCCAACAGAGTGTAAGAGTTGCAAAGAAGCTCTCAGGGGCCTGCACAAAATCCAGGAAACCACCCAATGCCTCAGCTAGGATGGAGTTTAGCCAAGACAAGAGGTCATTTGGGAGAAGAACTAAGCCTTTACAGCAGCGTGGAAAGTAGATCTCCAGATGATTTGCAGTAGATATGCAAGAGTTTCTTACTCCCAATTATTTAAAAATAACAACAAAATTATTTCTGCCCTACCTAAGTTAGACAGCTGAAATAAAGGTAGCTCACAGTAAATAAGGGGATTTTTGTGTGAAAAGACTGTGAGCTCCATTCAGTTTTGGTACTCAAAACATATTACTCGGCTCAGAAAGGCATTTTAAAAATCTTAAGGGTATTTTTTTGCACTTGGCTTCCGGGATTTGAGTAAAAAACATAAAAACTAAGAGCAGATCCAACAAGTAAGAAATCTGCCCATCCCCAGTCTAAGTCATCAAGGTAAGACAGGAATCAGAAACACATCCATTAAAGCTGAAGCTGACCTGCATAGATACATAATCATTTAGATTTTCCAATCCACAAAGAATGTCTTCCATTTTCCTACACATGCCACATTTATTTTTATTAATTGGTTTGGTTTGGACCCCATCTTTCTAAATGAAAAACGGTACTCAAGGCAGCTTCTAATAAATAAAGCTTGATTAAAACAATAATGAACAATGCATTAAAATTCAATAAAAACACAGCAACAACAAAGCAAGAACAGGCTCATGGCAAGAAAACCGATCTCCAGCCACTTTAGCTTTTAGCCCAGGGATGCAGAAACACTTATCTGACCTGTGGAGTTTCTGGCCCATGGAGTCTCCTTGGTTCCTCTGAGAAGGGATGAGACTTGGCCTTTAAGCCTTGCTGGCCCTGGAGGAATCCCTGTTGCTCTCTGCAACCTTAGCCATGCCCAAGAAGATCACTGAGGCCAGCAGAGATCTCAGGAAAGATTCACCACTTCCCAAAACAGTTCAGAATCTCTGCTTCAGCCTTCAACCAAAAGAGTGTATTAGATACTACTGCTAATACATAGTTGCCCCCAGCTTCTTGGCATCAAATGATGGGCACAGGAAAATAAACTGTGATTGTGATGCAATCTTTTCCCCCTCCAATCAAAGCTCAGCTCTGATCCCCCTCCTGCCCCCATGTCCCAGTCAAACTACCTCATAAGAGTCCCATTGTTTTTCTACCCAGGCAGCACAAACGTTGGATATTATATTTAGATATGTGTGGGGAGCAGGGATCAAAGGCACAAGTATATTATGGGGGAGAACAAGACTGACAACAGTATATATTGAAATGATCAGGGTGTCACAATCTAATGAAAATGCCTGTGAACCTCCCAATTTGAAGGATTGACAGCTTTTGCAGGACAAGAAGAGTGCGGAGGCCTTCCTGTCCTTTCTCCTGCCACCCCCACCCACAACTGCAAGACAAATAGATGGCTGATTTGGGGCATCTAACTGTGGTGCTTTAGACAGGAAGGAGGCTGGAACGCTGACAGGATGCAGCATGGCCTTGTGACCCCTAGCCTTTCCTTCTGCCCCTTTATACCTCGAGGTCGCTCTTGTGGCCCCAGAGGAGCTGCTGGCATGTTTTTTCCATGTGTACTGTGTATGGAGAGGGGTAGAATCCAAATCTGAAACCCCAGCTCTAAAGTTGGACCCCTTTTTTGAAAAGGGGATCTGAAATTCTGAAGAATCCTATGGTTGCCTAGTAAGGGGTCTGGAAACAAAGACCTGTGAGGAACAGTTGAAAAAAAATGATTGTTTTGGGCTATAGGATCACTCTGTTAGGGAGTCATAAGCTGAATGTGAGGCAGCTATGTGATATGGCTGCTTAGAAAACCGAAACAATCTGAAGGTGCAATAACAGAACCACAGCATCCAGATCTCAAGCAGTTACAGTTCCATTGTGTTTTGCAGTGAAGGGCTGCATTTGGAGAATAGTGTCCAATTCTTGACATAGTATTTAAGGAAGGCTGCAGACAAACTAAACTGTGTCCAGAGGAGTGTCACCAGAATAGTGAGGGATTTGCATTAACAGTTGAAAGAGCTGGTTGTATTTAGCGTAGGGAAGGCAAGATTAAGGGGATGCATGGGAGCTCTTCAGATATTTGAAGATCTGTCAGGCAGAAGATGGAGGAGGCTTGTGAACTGTCTGCAAGGTAGGACAGGAATCAGTAGGTGGAAATTGCAAGGGTGTAGAATTAGGCTAAGAGTGAAGAGAAACTTCATCACAGTAGGAGCTGTTTGACCATGGAGCAGACTGCTGCAGTAAGCGATGAACTCTCCTTCGTCGGATGTGTCTAAGCAGAGGCTGGATGTCCATCTGTCAAAGATGCTGTAGTTGCATCCAGCACTGTAATTTCAACATGGAACAGGCAAGCAGAAGAGATGAGCTTCGAGCCCATTTCCAACTCTAAAATACTAGATTCCACCTACTTGTGTGTATTCATTTATCTGCCCTTTCACACAGTGTGGAATTGTACATTAAATGTGTATCTGTGGACAAAGCTGAAGACTAACCTAAGCCTGAAGGACTCATACACACTGTCAGTTCCTTATCATCTACGTCTCTTTCCCAAGGAAAGCAGTCATTGTTCATATGTGTGTGCAATGTGTAGTTAAGTAATGGTGCAACAGCCCTACCACAAGACTGAGTGAGGCACTTGCCTAGTCAACAGATGTGGGAAGATTCTCAACCGCACTGGGTTGAGAAAGACAGCTCTGTGCCATGTGGCCTCCCCTAAATTAATCTGCTGTTTTCAGGTGCAGGAGAGGAGGATGCCCTCCCTCCATGTTGATGGCATAATCATATACCAATCCAGCTGCCAATTCAGATGGAACAGGAGTGGTGTCATCTTTCTCGTAGCCCCAGGCAGAGGAAGATTCTGGACTGGCCCAGTTTCCAGGAGGCTGAAAGCATTTTACCCAGAGTGGCACCACCACTTACCTGGTCTAAGCAGTGTGGTCTGGTGGTTAGAGTGTTGGACAGGGGCCTAGGAGCACTAGAGTCTAGGCCCCACTCAGCCATGAATCTCACTGGGTGACTTTGGGCCAGTCACTCACTCAGCCTAACCTATCTCAAAGGGTTGCTGTTGTGCAGATACAATGGAAGCAGGGAGAACAATGTAAGCCACCTTGGCCAGAGGAAAGATAATAAGATATAAATGTAACAACAACAACAATATATAAACCCCTAGTTTACTGTACAATATCACAAAGGATGATTTCATAAATAGATCTTGTTTCTTGGCCTGAACAGCTGACACTCTTTATTGAGGATATTTATATCCCACCTTCCCCTTAAAGAATCTATAAAATGGCTTACATTAGCATCCAAAAGAAAAGAACGTGATCTCTTGTGGTAGATTCTCTGACCTATGGAATACTGTGCACTCACCTTACGGCCTTGATGGTTAAACAGGAAACTCTGCCTGGAGGCAATTCCAGGATGCTGAAAAAAGTAGTGATCCAGGAAACCAGATAAAATCCTGTTTTTAGAAGCCCCCCCTTTCTGCCATGGTGTTCCAGCACCAATGGACCATTAAGATGACTTGCAGTGGGCACGGTGGTGCAGGAGGAGGGCCGTGCCCTCGCTGCAGGGACAGCACTGCTGGTCCTGCTCTGTGCCTCCTTCAGCAGCATGGAGGCGCTGGTGACGAGCAAGGTGGGAGGTGCGGATGAAGCGCTTGCAGCACTGCGGGCAGGCGTAGGGTCGCTCCCCTGTGTGAGAGCGCTGATGCTCCAGGAGCCGTCCACTTTCACAGAAACGCTTGCCGCACTGGACACAAGCATATGGCTTTTGGCCACTGTGGAGGCGTCGGTGCTGGGCTAGGTTGGATCTCCAGGAGAAGCGCTTGCCGCAGCAGTCGCAAGCATAGGGACGCTCCCCAGTGTGCATGCGCTGGTGCTGCCGCAGATTTGACAGTTGCGTGAAGGCCTTGGGGCAGTCTGTGCACCTGTAAGGCTTCTCCCCTGAGTGTGTCCCCAGGTGGCGCATCAGGTCCGAGCTCTGGCCAAACCCCTTCCCGCATTCCACACACTTGTATGGCTTCTGGCTTTCACTAGAGGAGACAGGGAGAGGTCTGGAGGGAAGAACCAAAGAGAACTCTCCAACTCCCAGTTTCTTGTGGCTCAGTTCCAGTTCAGGGCTCTGGGGCTTGGGCCCTGAAGGTTCTTCTCTTGACAACATCTTTTTGGTGCGGAAGATTTCCTGCTAAAAATCCTGCCTGACATCTGTGAAGACAATATCAGCTTATGTGAACTAGAAAAAAGTAACAAGACATGCATATTAGCCACACAAATACATAAGGACACTGCCCACTCCAGATTATTGTGGTGCATGGGCAAGGCACCCTCCATGGACCCCCTCCCTCAATAAGACTTGTGCCGTCTTACTGCCACCAACACCAGCTCCCCTTTCTCATCCTTGCTACCACTGGCTTGATTGACATGCAGGGTACCAGTGAGAAAGCAGGCATCTTCCTTCTCACCAACACCACTGTATGGGCCACAGTAAGAGGGAGGTAAACAAGCAGGTTGCAATGGTGAAGAGGAAAAGCAAGTCCAAGAGACTCTCATCAGTGTGTGCGTCTTTGGCCAGTGCCTGGCCATGCCCACCCTCGACACCAGTCCTGTATAAGACGCCCATTTCACTTATCTTTATGGCAGGGCTGGGCAACCGTTTTGGCTCCAACAGCTGCACACTCTGCCTGATAATAAACAGGGGGCCAAACATGCACACAGATTTTGCATGACTCCTAGCTGGGCAAAGTAGAGGAAGTGCCTCAGCTGGTCTAGGGGCTATGCAAACCAGCAAGCTCCCAGAGAGTGAGCAATCTGAACAAGTGAACAGGGGCAGTTAACAGGTGTTTGGGAGTAGTGTTCAAGCAGAGGAGGTCCCTTATTTATTTTCTTGTAGCACTTATATACTGGTTGGACTTTCGGGGAAGAAAGGACAACACACAGACCATTCCAAAATCAGTAAAGTAAAATCAAAGAGGGAGTAAAGACTACGGATGGAAAATACTTTCTAGTGGTGGTGATCTGCAAGGTCCATGCAATATTTGGTCAGGTCAACATGGCCTACATGTGCCATAAGTGCAAGCTTGGAAGAAAACTGCAAGCTTTTCTTGCCCTGTTTGAAGAAAAAGTGAGAATACTAGGGTGGCGACACTTTACTCCCAAAGGAGTAAGAGTTCTTAGGCAGAGGTACTGCAACAGCAAAATGACGTACACAAGGCAGAATTGCAACAGCAAGCTGAGGCAGAAGAACCCTGAAGCAAAGGAAAATGAAATAGAGGAAACTTCCTGGAAGAGGGTGACAGGAGCAGAAGAATTAGAAGACACTCTGCACCAGTAGAAGCAGTGGAACTAAACTGCTTTCAGGCACCTGAGGATGAGATTGGAAAGCAGCCCTACGGGAGATCCTGTGCAACACTGAACAAGAAGCTGAAGGTCAGTCAAACAAAGACAATGAAACCAAGGCCTACTAGAAGAGAAGAGTTGTGGTTGTGGAAGACACCCTACAATATGGGATGGAAACCATGCATTACAATGGAAAGAGCAGCTCTAATAGTGCCCAGCAATAGTCTTCCAAAACTGTAGAAAGTAAGCTGGACTATAACATGAATTTGAACTCTTAACACAGGAGGTGAATACAACTTGATAGATGTAATTGAAGCTTGGTGGAATGACTCCCATTACAGCAATTCACCAATTGAAGGATATAACTTGTTCAAAAACAGAAGGAAGATAAAGGGAGGTGAACTAAAGAGACATATCTCTACACAGAAATACAGAAGTAGCCTCATCAAGAGCATCTGGATTAAAATGAATAGAACAAAAACAATAAAAGGAAAATGGTGGTTGGAGTGAAGGAGAAGGTGAGGAAGAGACTTTTGAAAAACAAATTGCCAGTGTTTCAAGAAGGCATGATATAGTAATAATGGGGGACTTCAACTTCCCTGGTATTTGTTGAGAGGCAAATTCTGCCAACCATGGTTCTTCCTTTACTTTTGTTGCTGGTAACTTCTCCTACAGAAAGCGGAGGAAGGAACTGCAGCACTTGATTCTAACCAACAGGGATGACTTTAGCAGGTAAAGTGGCAGTTATGGGAACTTTCTGGGAAAGTTATCATGCCATGCATGATTCTCGATTCTTTCTTATCTTTTCATATCACATCATCTTTTGCAGCCTGAACACATTCCAACCCCGAAAATGTGGGAATGGGATAGAACTAATATTGAGCAAGGGAGAATCTCTACAATTATTTGTGCATTATATAGAGTCATTGGGGTGCATGGTGATTTTTAGATGCATGGAATTATAACATTGGAAAGGGTTTTCCAAAGGCCATCCAACCTCTGCTTAAATTTCTGCATTGAAAGAGGGCCCATCTTCTCCTAAGCCAGTCTACCCTCCCATTCTTTAATCTCACAACAGCTTGTGGGGAAGGTTCAATTGAGATAGTGGCTGGATGGATTTCAACTAGTAAGTTTCATGGCCAGGCTGAATGGGCATTTGAACCCAGATTTCCCCACCCCTAGCCCAGTGCTACACAATGCTGCCTCACAGCTGGGTTATGAAAGAAACCTAAGCAGTGATCAATTCCAAAAGACCTGTGGGATTCATATCTACTTCAGAGCCCTTCTCTTTGCCCTGAAAAGCAGCCTGGGCACAAACGCTGCTAGAGAAGATGCCCTCTGCACGTGCTCAGAGGCACATTGCTTTCGAATGCCTTCGTACAGACACCTCAGGGACAGGGCAAAGGTTATGAAAACTGGATCTGGAGCTCAGCTGAAGCCCAGTGCTTGAACCGGGAACAGAGAGGCGCGAGCAGAGGGAGCAGCGAGTTCTTCGCGTGAAGTAGCCAGGGCGGCAAGGCGTTCGTTTCTTTGGGAGCCGGGCTTGCCGACGCCATGCGCAATCCATGCACATACCATGGAGGGTGAAGAGGGAACGCGCAGGCACTCGCCATGCATAGACCGAGCGGCTCCTGCCTCCCCGCCCGACACACGCGCATGCAGAGCCCCGTTTGCCGCACTACACCCGGGCACCGCTCCTCGCTCTCCAGACGCCCCTCCTGACCTCGCGCTCCCGGCTCGGAGCTGGGCTGCGCTGGCACCTCCTCATCTGAGCAGCAGGGGGAGGCAGGGGTCACCCGCACCTGGATCCCACACAGGAGGCGGGCGGCAGCAGCGGCGGCGGCATCGCGGGCCACTCGGGGATTAAGAATAGGCCCCGCACAGGCAGCCGCTCTGGCCCCGTGCAAGGCCGGAGCCCGGATGGCTCTCCATGGTTTTAACCCCTGCTCATCTCCGCAGTGGGTCCAAGCGGCACACCTGCTTGCTCGTGCCAAGGAAAGAACTGTGTTGTAAGTGGGTGGTACAGGGGCGCTGCGGGTTAAATAGCTTCATGACCGGCAGAAATTCAACGGGTGGCCGAAAGAGACAGTCACCCTGTGTCCAAACGAGATGTATCTATAAAGAGAAATTATAGTGGCTAAAAATCTGGGATATGTATCCTCTTTTACACATGCAAACGCTCTGTTGAGCGGTATGAGCAGTGGTTGCAGCTAAATAAGTTTACACCCTGGACTCAATCGTCTTGCACTCCATTTATTGCTGATACATTGCAGCAAAAATATCAGAAACTGTCCATGTGATTAAAACCCAAAGCCTCCAAACATATGCCATTTTGTATTTTAAACACCTCTAGAATGTTGCACGCTTAGAATCATAGAAAAGTAGAGTTGGAAGGGACCATACAGGCCATCGGGTCTTTGTTGCAGGACACAAAATTACACCATTCCACTCAGATGGCTGTCCAGTTTCTTTTTGAATGTCTCTAGTGTGGGAGAGCCCACCACCTTTCTAGGCAGCTGGTTCCTCTGACAGGATGCTTTTCCTGGTGTTCAGCCTGAATCTGAGTTGTTGCAACTTGAATTGATTGCTCGTGTCCTACATTCTGGCATCATTAAGAAGAGATCTTGACCTTCCTCTTTGTGACAGCCTTTGAGGTACTTTGAGAACATGGGTCCTCAAACTACAGCCCACAGGCTGGATCTGGGCCGCCATGCCCATTTTTCCGGCACACCATAGAGGCTTTGGACTTGCCGTGTGCACACACCCGTGCACACACCTGGCGAGACGATGGCTTGCTCATGCAGAGATCATTTTGGACTTTCTGAGAAAAGGATCTCCTTGCTCACAAGCCGGCGCCTCGCTGTGCAGCAGCTTGCTCACAAGGAGATTGTTTTCTCCGAGCGAGTCCAAAATGATCTCCCCGCACCTGCATGCCCCCCCCACACCACCTTGGTGACCTGCGCCCATTGCTGGCACCTTTCAATTGGCCCCTGTTGAAAAAGTTTGAGGACCCCTGTTATAGAGGGATATTACCCCCCCCCCCTTTCAAGGCTGAGCAAGCCCAGTTCTCTTGGCCTCTCCTCATAGGGCAGTGTTTCCAAACCCTGGATCATGTTTATTGCCTTCCACTTGTGACAGAAATATTTATTTTGTGTGTGTGTGAGTATCTCCTGCTTTGTTTTACTGCAAGGAACCCAAGGCAGCTTGCCTAGTCTTCTATTTTATTCTCACAAATACCCTGGAAGAGTCAGGCCGAAAGGTATGAGTATAATGGCTTCATGGCTGAGTGGGTGCTAGAACTTTGATTTCCCAAGTCCCAGTCCAATCTTCTAATCACTACTCAGCACTTGCTAACAGAGTTGACATGTTGTCCTGACGAAAAAAACACATTTACTTGAGAATAAACATTGTGTTGTAAAAATAATTTTAACATCAAGATTTTTAAGGAGATCACCAAATATACATGATCAGACTCCCCTGACTATAAAATATTCTTAAAATAACGAATGATGCTGTAGTGGACAGTGTGGACTCTAATGTGCTCATTCACCCGAGGAGCTGACTCTAATCTGCCGATCTCATCACCTGACATTCTCCAGCTGGACATTTGAGGCCAGGCCCTAGCTGCACCATTTTGAGAATATAATGATCGAAAGAGCCATTCCTAATGCCATGTCCTCATACCCTCCATCTGAGAGACAGACACTGGTGTATTTGCAAGACTTAACTAAATCCAGGGTGCATTTGTGGAATTTCCCCCAACTCACCTTTTTCACTGCCCACTTGGCTCTCTGTCAGGTTTTCCTGTCTGACCTTCTCAGTGCTGGCTCCAGAGGTAAAAGCAACCCATGGCAGGGCCGTCTTAACAGCATTATGGGCCCAGGCAAAGCAGTGTACTGGGCCCCCTACCACAACTACAACCACTGTTAATTTTGGAAGTTTTCCAATTGTCCAAGGGTTAACATACACAGATTAGTATGGGGCCCATGGGCAAGTGCCCATCAGGCCCATGCGTTAAGACGGCCCTGACCCATGGTTCAACAACCCACACTCAACCCATACTTAAACCTTGAGTGTGGGTGACTATGTAGTCTGAACTCAATATCTTCTTGAGCTTGCCTGTGGTTATTACATTCTACCTGATGTCTACCTTGGAGGCAAATGTCTCTATCATAGAGATTAACCTTCACTTCCAAAAAAATGTACACAGCCCAGTGACAGAGCACATGCTTTGCATGCAAACGGCCCCACGTTCAACCTCTGCCATTTTCAGAAAGAGCAAAGAAATATCCATATTGGAATCCAGAGAGCTTAATGCACTAATGGTCCATTTATCTGCAAGGTAAGGGCCATTAATAAAATCTATATGACATTACAAAATATATAACAGAAATAAAACAATGGAATAACTGTTCAATGAAATCTGAACTAAAATAAATCTAGGCCTTTACTCCAAAGGATCATATTTACAGTTAATTGTGATTGTAGTTCAAAGTTTAACACGATTTTTTTAAAGCCAGTAAGGAAAAAAGCACAACCTCCTGGGGCACTAGATGATCTGACAGCAGGTAGTATATATTTCATGTTCAGGTTGCAACCTGTATTTAATATTCCTGGCATTTTTAATATGGGAATGCATGTAAAGGACCACTCACAAATAGCATAATGGATTTAGAAGATAAAATGTTCTGTTGATGCAATATAATGTTTAGATTACAACTCCATTTCCATAGCTCTCTCTTACAAAGTGACTCAAAGAAGTCCTCAGAAATGGAGTACAATCAAAGAAGAGCATTAAAACTAGAGACCCATGGCATGCAAGACCAAAGACCATTTATACGCAATACATATTGGAATGAAAAATTGCTCTTCTATTACTGGAAAAGGGTAAGTCTTACTTTTGAAACAACAGAGATAAAGAGTTATGAGCCAGCCATCTGGGTCACCTGAATGAAAAGATATTCCTTATGGAAAGATGGGTCACAGAGAGTATCTTTGCAAAACCCTGTTTCTCTTTCAAGCAACCCCCCCCGCAAGTTCCCTTGCCTTTCATCATTCCTTTATCCTGAATGTTTGCTGAGGTTAGCAAAACAAGAACTTCACCAGCCAATGGTTCAAAATAGCCAGACAAAACCCTTTCATGCAACTTGTTGAACTTTAATATGCCCCAAATGAAGCCATGGTGATTACAGAGTGAAACGTTAGTGAGAGATTTCTGGATGAAGAAATATAAATAGCTGCTGATAAGAGAAGCTACAGAAGGAAATGAAGAGCATCTAAAACTAGAAAAATTCTTCTAACTGGAGTGTTCAACTATTCAGCGGCATCCAGGCAATTGAAACAGAAAAGAAGAGACTTTGTTCTTAGAGACATGGTTTGCTAGCTCTGACCCAGTGATGATTGTACCTACATCAGCCTCCCCCAGTCAGGCGATATTTAGATATCGTGGAATACAACTGGCTGGGGCTAATGGAAGTTGTAGTCCAAAACATCTGGAGAGTACCAGGTTAGGGAAGGTGGATCATACACACACACAATGAAGAGGGAGGATATTGGCTTTCTGGGCTCAACCTGGAGATCCTGCTTGTCCCTTTAAAAGCTGAGAATATAAGAAGATTCAGAGTAGATCAAAGGCCAGCTTAGTCAAGCATAACCCAATGCTTCTGGGAAGCCCATAAGCTGGACATGAAGATAGCCCTTTGCTGTTCCCAGCAACTGGTATTTGGGGAATACTGCCCCTGAATATCAAATCCCCTTTTAACGTCATTCAAGCCAGTGACCTGATTCACATGCTGCATTGGTCCATTCATTTCAGGGTTATGAAATGCATGCCAGCCACCATTTTGAATGTGCAAGCCGTGAGAGCAGCATACTGCAGCCTGTCATGTCATGCACACCCACACATCAGAACTGCCCAGCGACCCAACAGCCTGCCACAGCTTGCATACTCAAAGTGGTGCCTGGTATGCATCTCTGAGCCCTGTGGGAGAATTAACCCACAGTGGCTTATTATGAGGTGCAAACCCACCACAATGACAACTGCTGTCATGCAACAGGGATGGAGGACTTGTGGCCCTCCAGATGTTGGCCTACAATTTCTACTGCCCTGGCCATTGCCTGGCTAGGGCTGATGGGAGCTGAAATCCAGCAGCATCTGGAAGGCCAGCAGTTCCCCACCTCTAATTCTATATATTCAATTCTATAAGTTAAGGCTGGGGGAAGATCTCTATCAACTTTCTATCATGCAGGTGTTATAAACTGTTATCATGCTCACCCACTTCCATCCATTTTTCCCCCAAGGCAGAAAGATATCACAGAACCATGGTGGATCCAATCCTGTCCCTACACTTAGGGATCCCCTTGTCCACAGTCCTCTGCCACTTTCTCTGAAGTAAAAAATGAAGCTGCACCGACTGCTTTAAGTGCAGAGGTTGAAGAATGGTGGGCTTTATCCCAATCTGCTGCTCTGGAACTTTTAAAGGGACAGGCCAGAACTCCAGGTTCCAACTGGGCAATCCTTTGGGATGATACTGCTGTGTTGGGAACAGCCTGTTCTCCCCACCCTCCTTTTTAAAAAATGAAGTGCTCTATCTCTGGTAAGCAGGGAGGACACATTCTTCAAACAACATTTCAAAGAGAAGATTACTCATTACTGATTATTTTCATTTTGATCCCACTTCCTAGCCCGAACCTAAGCCCTGAAAGGGCTTACAATCATAGGACAAAGAAAATAGCCAACAATTACTTTAAAAACCATTTAAAAACAACAGCAACAGAAATAAGAATACATTGTGCAAAAGAAAATGTTTCCAAAATGGCAGACCATTGCTGTGAAGAATAGCTCTGCTGGTAGGGAATCACAAGGATATTTCTGTGCTTGAGGCTTGCCCAGAAAAATATAGAACAAGATGACCTTTGCGACATCACAGACACTATCCAGATGGTGTCCATGGTATGTGCAGTCACATTAGAGGAGAAAGAATGGTAGGTCTCCAGCAACAATATATTGTGATTCGATAACTTGGGAAATGTAAGGTCCCTGAAGCAGAATTGCTTGCTATGGGAATATGTCTGGATCTGATGCCACAAATGACTCTGGAAAGGTCCTCTTTATGTAATGAGGGGAAGAGAATTTTCACCCTTGCAGGACCCACACAACTAAAAGTGCCCAGAGCCTCCTGCAATTCTCAGTAAGGCTCATCAAGTGCAGAACAACCAAAGCAACCCTCCTATTTCAGTCACTGAGCAGAACCAGGTCTCTGAAGCCTTTGTGCAAATGGCTGGCAGATTTGGATCCAATCTGTGACTCACTGAGGCACCTTAACAGGGCAAAGGCTTCCGGATCCAGAGGTTGTTAACTTTCAGACAGCCTTGAACTCTTGACTTTTTAAAAAAATTAACCACTAACCTAGTCTTCAGCTCCTGCAGACCTATCCCTTTCTAATAATCCAGAGAGTCCTAGCTCTCACTTGATAATAGACTGTGACCCAAAAAGTGTCAAAGAAAAAAAAATCCACATCTTCCAACAGGGCCACTTACAACAGAACATGCAACTTAAGGCAAAATATGCAAATTTGCATCAGTCATCTTTTTCTTATTCTTAATTACAAAATCAAAATTTTGCTGAATTTGTCATTTCTGAGCACAAAATACTCAATGCACCTTCTGGGCATGTTTTGTTTGTTTCTGCAATACGGAAATGGGAAATTCGGATGTGAGTTGGCATACAGGTCTGGGGCTTGGTCTTTTAGGATGGGCACTTGTATGACCTCACAAGGACCATATGGGTCTTCTGATGCGTGCTAAGGCCAGACCTCTGTCGAAAGCTTTTCCCGCATTCCATGCAGCGATATGGTTTCTCCCCAGTGTGAATTCTCTGGTGGATGGTAAGGTGTGAGCTCACACTGAAGGTTTTCCCACACTCATTGCACTTATAAGGCCTCTCCCCAGTATGGATTCTCTGGTGCAGGATGAGGGTGGAACTCTGGCTGAATCTTTTCCCACAGGCTTGGCACTCATAAGGCTTCTCTCCAGTGTGGATTCTTTGATGTTTTGTCAGGTGTGAACTCACCGAGAAGCACTTCCCACAATCCGTGCACTTGTAAGGCTTCTCTCCTGTGTGGATACGGCGGTGGAGCACAAGGGTGGAGCTCTGGCTGAACCTTTTCCCACAATCATTGCACTCGTATGGCTTCTCACCAGTGTGGATCCTCCGATGAATGTTGAGATGGGAGCTCACGCCAAAGCTTTTCCCACAATCTGAGCATGCATAGATCTTGTCAGCAGAACGAGGTGGTCTCTGGGGCTGGGTGAGACCATGCTGAGCCTGGGCGAGACTCTCCCCACACTGGACACACAAGTTGGCGCTGGCCCCCATGTACACCCTTGGTGTGATATTGGGATTGTCTTTTGGCATTGGGGGAAGAAGAGGAGGCTTGGCCCATCCTTTCCCAGCATCCTCACTTTGCTGCCCAGCTTGATTCTGGCCCAGGTAAAGAGAGCCTTCGGAACGCCCCGGCAACTGCTTCTGTACCTGCCCTGCCTCAGCACTTCCAGGCTGGGAATTGGGGTTCATGGTTCCTCCATCTACCAAAGGAAAGAGAGTAAAACCATCATGGGGAAAACCTGGCATTGTTGCAATAGCTGCTATTTTATATTTTCATTGATACTTTACCTTGATGGTTTGACTGAGTGTTGTTTTTAAATCATCTTACACACATACCCCAAGTTCTTTGCATGGACTGGGTCAAAAACAGCAAATTAACACCCATAACATACCTTAGCAGTATTGCACTCTAGGATGGATTACACTTGGTTGCCACCTGGGAGGACCCATCCTGAGCCACAGACGTCAAACCAAAGAGTGGCAGCTGATGGCACTACTTTCTAATTCCTGATATTCTGCTAACTGGGAGGGTTCTATGGGAATTCTGCCAGAGTGATTTGATTTCCTCACAACTCACCAAATCCTGTGAATATTTCTGTGAAGTACAATTGCTGAATACACAGGGACAGGAAATTTGCTAATTTTCTTTCATCTCTCTATCCACCACAAGATGGAGTAATCCCAATCTCCTAAACCTTTTTAAAGAGTTTATAAATAAAGAGGTGCCCTGGTACAATTTTATTGAAGAGAAATTTGCATAGCAACAAGCCATCTTCTGAGCTACACAGAATCTCTCCTGCCTGCTCAAGAGTTTTGCATAACTCAAATGCATGCAAATTCCTATGCCAGCAGAAGGCAATATTATGATCTCCATACATGTCTGTATTCTGGGATCTTGAGTTTGCAATAGTCATCTTCACTCCTTGAACTGTAATTTAAAAAAAATCTATAAAAATAAATAAATAAAAGAAAAGTCCTTACCTAGCGAGAGTAGAGTCCCATAATTGTCCTGTACAATGTCCCTGTAGACAGGTCTCTGGCATGGGTCCAGAAGGGCCCACTGTATCTCAGCAAAATACATCAGTCACTTCTGCAGAAGGCTCTGGCCTCTGAAAGAATAAGTTTCCCCTGCTCAGAATTCGACACCGACCCTGTTGCCCTGAGACCTGTCATGTGGCCAGACCTTTGGTGACAGCATCTGCTCCCCTGATCTCAAAGGCTAAACGCCACTTTGAGATAGCTCTCATTACTCTACCTTCAAAAGCAGGACTGGGGAACCAATGCCCCCCCATATGTCACTGGACTCCAATTCATATCAGCCACAGCCAATGGCTAGGGAGGGTGGGTGTTACAGTCCCTTCCAGCCCTATTCTATATCGGTCCTCCTGCACCTCGCGTCTCTCCAACAAAGCTTGCATGTGTGTGCTTTTAACAACTTCGCGACTCACAGGAATTCAACAGGTGAGGTACTTCCTGGCCATGGAGGAAGGGGCAGCAGCAGGAAGGAAAGCTTCACCTGCCGGATTTCTGCAGGGCGCACCGGTTTTTAGAGGGTGTGTGCGAAAGAAAGGTGGCAACCTTTCCTACTTCCGCCAACCCATCCCCCAAGCTCTACGTCATTCTCACGTCTTGAAAGATCCCCACCCCCCACACACATACACATACACACCCCGCTGCACGTCTCTTGTTTATATACGTAGGGAACAGCCAGGTTTTTAATCCAGGGAAGGGGATTCAGACGACTGTTCGCAGGCGCAAAGGCGCAGGCAGACGTTGGCTTCTCCGGTTCGGCATACTTTTGTTTTTTGGCTTTTCCTCCCCCCGCCCGCCTCTTCCTCCCCTTAGCGAGGAAGTTGCCTGGCTGCGTTGCTGGACTTTGGCCGGTGCTCAGCCCCAGTCGTTCACAGTTACCTGGAAGTCTCTGGCTTCAGGACTTGGCCCCTGAGAGCTGCAGAGTTCGGGGTCTCCCCTAAGAAATCACGCGGCCATGGACTCTCTCCCCCTCTCTCCACCCCGCCACCTGCGCTCCCTCCACCCCGAGGATGTGGCTGGAGCCAAACGAGGTCTCCTAAACTGAAGGCTCCTGCAGGCGGGAGCGACGCTACCCGGGCGGCTGCTACGAAAGCAAAAGCAGCAGCAGCAGCAAGCGAGCGCTCCCTCTTTCTCCCCCTCTCTCTCTGGTCTGACCTGGGAAGTTCAGCCCCCAAAATCGTCAGCGGTAGCAGCAGTAGCGAGAGAAAATGAGAACAGTCGCCTCCTTTTCTCTCTCTCTTTTTTCCCCCTTCTCTCTTTTTTGACAATGGTCAGAGCCCTCTAGCGGCATCGCTTCTGTTTTACACGCGGAACAACCCCAAACAAGAGCTGCTGTGGAAGGCCGGCCGGAAGGAAGCCCTCCTTGGCTTGGGCTTGGGGCCTAGGCACGGAGGGGGAGCTGAGGCTGCTGGATGCGGCCGAGTAGGATGGCTTTGATCGGAGTCGCGGGAAATGAATGGGGGTGGCCTTGCAGATAGTGATGGCTTACAGCTCTCATCAGCCCTGGCCAGCAGAGCAGCCTTCCAGAACAGGGTGCCTTCCAGATGTGTTTCACTGCAACTCCCATCACCCTTGCCCAGCCAGCAGGATACAAAACATCTGGAAGGTGCCAGGTTGGGGGAGAGGGGGAAATTTATTTATTCACTCCTTCATTTCCCCAGTGTTCCTGGATTGCCTTTCAACACAGGAACCCTCCTAAGGCAATAAAAAAAATCGCATATAATTAAGAACTAATACGAAAGAGTGATTGTTACTGGTTTAAAGCTGCAACTTACGCAGAATGCAGCAGTCAGATTAACAACCAGGATCTGTAGTTCTGAACACAAGACCAGTTCTGGACGGCTTGCATTGCCAGCCTGTATGCTTCTGGTCACAATTCAAGGTGCTGGTTTTAACCTATAAAGCCTTATATGGCTTAGGATTGCAATACCTTGAAGTGCCAACTCCAAGGGAAAAGTGGAGGGTGTCTGTGGTGGCCCCCTGTCTGTGGAACTACCTCTCCAGTGCAGCACAGCTGGCACTGAATTTGTCATCTTTTCCATGCCTGGTTCTCTTCAATGAAGCTTTTAAAGAATGACTTGGCCACTCAGGAATTGGAGAGGGATTAGCCATTCCATGTGTTTTGCAGGCTCATCCTTTGTTATTAGCTGCTTGAAACTTTTTAATTTTTTTCTGATTTTTTAAATTGAATTGCTATTGACAGTTTCTATGGGTTGTAATCCACCCAGAGAGCTTTGGCTGTGGGATGGTGTAGAAATACAATAAATGAAAGAAAAAAAGGAAGAAGAACCTCAGCTATGCACCAGAACAGTCTAGAACCAGATGTTGCAGCCCAACATCATCTACAAGGCCACATATTCCACATGACAGCTTTATAGAGCCAGCTTCCAAAGGCAACTGTGTTCTTAGTCATGACAGCTCAATGGGCCTTCCAGGGCTCAAGTCAACATGGCACTGAGTGCCAGCTGGAAGGCACCTGTGGGGTGGGGGGGGGGGCGTGCATCTAGGAAGCATCTACTTGTGGAAAAGAAGAGCTGCATAAGAAGGGCCTTTGGTCTGATCTGACAGGGCGGTCTTCTTGTATCCTCATAATGCTCAGATGACTATCCCGTCTAGGGCTGGGCAATATGCAGCCTAATTCCATGCAGCCTTCAGCCAAATTCCAAAAACTTTCAACAAGTGATTAATTTAGACACTGGCAAGAGTGATCTGTTCCTCCCTCTGGCAGTCTCTGGATGGGAAGGAAGCATGAATGAGAATGAGAGGGTTGCAGAGAGGACAGGGGGTGACAGAGAGAAAAAGAAAAGGGGCAGTTCCTCCCCTTTGGGCTTCTGCTGTACACAATACTGACATGCTCCCTCTCCCCCACCCCAGATCACCTCTGAGAACATGGAAGAAAAACTATACAAGTAGAAACCTAAAAGAATGGTTGATATTCAGACCATCTGTCCTGTATTTAAAATATTTTTATTCCTATTATAAATAATATTATTTTATAATAATAAGACTGTCTGCTCCTGCAAGACACCACACATTTGTTCAGAGAATATCTGATTTTCATGGGAAGGAACAGGACCTTGGTGGTCCCTGGGACCAGGAAGACCTCACTTCAGTTCCCCACACAGCCACCAAGCTCACTGGTGACATCTTGGCCAGTCACTCTCTCTCAGCCAAATCTACCTCAGCAGTTTGCTGCTGGGATAAAAGTTAGGATGGAGGAAACCATACAGGCCACTGGTGCTATATAGGTAAGAAATGTGGCATCAGATATCCTAAAAAGAAAATCAAATGCCATTAAACACCCAAGCAAAGAACAGTGGACTTTACCTGGTTCCTATCTAATCCTAAAGGCACCAGGCACATGGTTTAGGGAGGCAATTCAATTATTTGGACACCATCACTGAGATGGGGAGGGCAGTGCCCTGCTTTTCTGAGTATGCTGTGCCCAGAAAAATATTTTAACTTCCCTGGTAAGCAAAGCAAATCAGCCCACTGGCAGAGGTGGAAGGTCTTGCCACTGCTACAGCAATGTCCTAAGTTCACTGCTTTAGTTTTCCATGCACAAATGGGTGCAAACTGTTCAGATATATTTGGAAACAGTAGAAATGTGCAGTCCGGGACACCGTTAAGATGTATGCCACACCTGCTTTCGACTTCTGTTGTCCTCAGCTGTTGAGAATCCAATCTGCTGTTGTTTGCAAAGCTGTGTTGGCTTGGAAAATATGAGGCAACATTGGGGGAGCAGAATGAAATGCTGAGAACTATATACAGAAGATAGTAATAATGTATTAATCTAGCATTGCTGAATTATTTTAATGGACCTCCACCCATCTGGGATTAAAAATTGGGGTTTCTCAACATGATCTTCAAGCGGAGTAGAATGTTGG